GATTCGATACATCGATTAAACGGTCATTTCCACATGATGTTCCTGTCGTTCGAACATTCTTCTGTTGCAAGTGAAACTTTTATTTGCTGACAAGAGAAGAGAAAAAAATGGTGTGAGAGGTTAGTGACTGCTGCTTGTGCTTAGAGATAGACAAAGTTGACAGAAAACTGAAGTGACACACGCACTAACAAGCAATTCTGGTTTCATCTGGGGTGCAACAACCTATGAAATGACCGATTTTGACTTTGAGCATAAAAAAGAGTAACTTACGTGCTTAATTACAAGCTTTCAGGTAGTCGTCATTTCAAATAGAAATTATTTATCTGATTATTTTATATGTAAAGCCACTCCCGATTATAATTTAAATGTTAATGAGAATCCATAGATGTAATGACAATAATAATACTTCAATTTTTCGCTTAGGTGACGTTTTTTTAAGCTTTGCAACATAAACTTGATTGTGGAACATTATAGATAATGGATAAAACAATGGCACAGACATGTTTCGATGACAGAAGCCTTTGACATAGAAATTGAACCACTTTACACTGTTTTGCTTAAATTAATTTGAAAAGATGAAAAATCGATGACACATGTGTGAGTGTCTTCATTCTCAATTATTAGGCCACATAAACGCCATCTATTTTATTTTCACAAGGTTTGTTAGTCATCTTTTGGACAGTTTATCAATACTGGTTTAGCCAACTCCGTTAAATTTTTCAATGCGTTAACAATCATGATCATCAATTTACACTTCAAATTGCAATTCTGACGTCATATTTGGAATTAATATGCAAAATTACCCATGGAGCAGTTACAAAATAGAAAAAATAATCGCAATAACAAAGTTTGAAAATGTATTAAAAATCGCTCGAACTTCACAGTAAAAAAAAAATCGAGCTAATCCCACCAAACGCTCTGGGTGCTATATTCACCAAGTACTTTCAAAAGTTGTTGTACTGTGATATTTCATAGACACTCTGTATCCACTAGGGACGGGATGGGAGCACTGCCATGATAGATAAGATTTTTTTTAAACTAGTCTTTATCTATAATGTAAAATGAACAAGAGAAAAAAGAGAGAAAAGGAAGAGGAAACAGATAAATAGAGCAGAAGTTTCTCACATGATTCAAAATTTTTTCTCACTCTGCCACAAATACTGGCGCCCTTGCTCTGCCACTTTGAATAATTTTCCTTTTAAACTTTTGCGGCCTACACACAAAAGACACCTAACCTCAATATGAGACGATTTGACATAAAATTCAGTTTATCCGAAGTCTCATTTATTTTTGGATAAATTTTAGTAAACAATTTTTTTTTTTTTTTCAATATTTTTGTGCGTTATACCGAGGCTCCAAGAGTTTCATATAAGCTTGCCATGTAGCAGAAAACAGACAGTCGAAAACAAGAAAAAATTTTTTTTCGTATTTTCAACTGTCTTTTTCGCTGTTACATGGCAGGCTTATATGAAACTCTCGGAGACTCGGTAAAACGCACAAAAAAATTGAAAAAAAAAAAATTGTTTACTAAAATTTTTCCAAAAATAAATGAGACTTCGGATAAACTGAATTTTATGTCAAATCGTCTTATATTGAGGTTAGGTGTTTTTTGTGTGTATATGTGTGTAAACGGTAATTGAATTTTCTTCGATGTGTCAATGCGAGAGTTGCTTTCTTTAGAGGTGCATTTTTTTACCAGAGTTTCCGTTTGAATACGTCTCCGGTTGTGAAACGAATGCATATATAATTAAAACATGTGTTTATCGGATGTACCTTTATTAGATGCAAATAAATTTCTGGAGAGCAGAAACACGAAACATAAACAATTCTTACGAAATGCGAACAAAAACATATATTCTGCATGTACTCTAATAAAATCACATCATTTTATCACGTTTATATTTGACGCAAGATGCCTTTTTTGTCGTTCGAGATTCAGCAAACTCTTTATTCGAACGGGTCATGAAGAATGACTTTATTTTTTTATTTTCATTCTGTCTTTCAATAAGGCGACGGATGCATAGTCATCAGGCAAATGACATAGTCGGATTGTAAGGTTGCCATTTGATTTCATTTCGTCCGTTTGTTACTTTTACTAAATTCAAAAGTGCGGAGAAATGGCAAATGACACCGAGACACAGAGAAAAAGTGAGAGAGTGGGGAGAGAGAGAGAGAGTAGCTTCAAAAGTTAAATACCCAAATAGTTAATATAATGAAAAACACATTCATATTTGAATTTCTTCAAGTAGCCAATTCCATAGCTGGAAAATGTGGCTTTGAAAAGATCTCGATGATGCGTGCATGTATATGATTAGGGTGTACGAAAATTTAAAGAAAACTACAAGCTCAAATCACGGTTTTATTAACGTGAGTGAAACAAACAGCTTTTAAATATGTGTCAGTTTTTCAGGTTGTAAGGATTTTGGTTTTTAATTTTTTTAAAATACTACACACCCTACGGTGTATGTGTGTTCGCTTCATTCCTTTTTGTTTCGGTTTTATTGGTTGTTTCATGCTAATACTCATACTCGCGCTTTACTCGCCAACTGTAAAATGGAATAAAACATGAAATTTAATATCCATAATAAAATGGTATAATGTGAGTGTTCTCTTTCTCTACTCCCTTCTCTCATTCTCTCTCCCTATTGCTTTCATGTAGAAAAATTTAACAGATCTAAAGCGAAGCCACGATTTCGTCGTGATTCTTCTCCTTGTCATCGCAACGCATCGCATCAACTGCTTGAATTATGTTAAGTCTGATTTTTTTATCCCATTTATGAGCCATCTTACACATTTTAATACTTTACGACGGCTTTATTTCAATATTTTCATTTATCGTTGTTTACTGTCGCTTCCAATTTTTTTTTGCATCGTCTTCTTCGTCATTGTCTCTTTAGGTTCCATTCTATGCGAAACATGTAAATATAATAATATTGAAATGTACGCGTGCATTTTGAAATTCCATTCGTGCAGAATCTTATATAATTGAAACTACTTGATGTGAGCTCATATTTAATGATTTTGCTCATGTTCTTTCACCATTTTTTAAGTATTTCTTTTTATTAAAGCGCAAGCATTGCGTTTTCTTCCAACAACTTAACATTTGCTCTCTTAAATGGCTTTCGATTTTATTTTTCCACTAATCCGCTCTACAAATAATGTTAAGTCCGGAGTTTCATGAATTTTCTTCGTTAAAAAATCGTTTTTTTTTCTTCTTCTTTTTGTCTCGAGCCGACCATGAATACTGAGAATATGTGTAATATATTTGGCTTTAATTAGTTTGTTCAGAAATACAGGTAGTTTATACGAAATGTATTGATTTTATGCAAAATCGAAGCACCATTACCACAAAATAACAGTACTGAATTTGTAGACAGTGGAATAAATATTGCCAATCGAATCGGAATCATGAAACCAATTATATAATAAGAAGACGTGCGTTGGTTGATTGATTTCCATTTTCATTGGTATTATGTTTGTTCTTATTACGACAAAAACATCACAACAACAGCCACAACATCAACAAAAAATTTACAAATAAGTACGACTAAATCGCATGTGCTTGATTATGTTGCACATATCGTTTGTATATCGTTGGACATCATCAATCGAGGCCCAGAGGCATTCAAATGGAAATTGAATATAAATGCCATCATATTATTACGAAGGAAGTGGAATGTGGAATAGATGATGATACTCACATCGACACGTCGATATGATTATAAATAAGCACACAGACACATAGTAATCAGTATATAGTCAATATTTTCAAAGTGCGGTTAATGTTGCCATTGAGCGATAAAAGTTTCGAGAAAGCGAAAATTTACATAAAATAATGATTGCTATGTTATGAATCCGTAGCTTGTTTATATTCCAAATAATACAATCAATTCAAAGAGCAGATATGGAGAGACGGAGTGAGCGAGAGTGTGATTATGTGTTGTGCAAGCTTTTCCTTTCCATACCCGTCAATAGCAACACACACACACACACACAATATCCTGGTATTCTTTGGCAAATATTTCTGGTTTCCATACACCCTTTATATACTAAACTCTCGAAACATCGAAAGCTTCTGCGAATAACTGGCATAAACGCCACTCGACTTAATTTTGGTTGGTTGTGTGATGTGTGTTGCGTTGGCTAAAGACTGCCTGTCACACAACTGAATGGTGTGCGTAAATTATTTCAATGCCAACTATACATGGAGGAGGAAAAACGGAACTATAAGGAAAAATTTATTGAGATATATCGTCATCATTTTGGGGCTTTTGATCGGCGTATGTGTTACCCTAGATAAGGGTTCGTCTCTCGTCACGAGCTGAAAATATAGGCACAACAAGTACTGCCACATAGATACCATCGAAATATATTAATAAAATGGATTTTAGGTCACAACCATGTACTCGATTTATACTACTCTCGGGCCGATTTAAACCTATTTTCGGTCGAGAGTTTTCTGGAATAACACACGATATTTATGTCGAGGGATGATTTTTTTTTGTTCGTCAAAAAAATACGTGTGTTGCATAAAGTCGGTGACTTTTATACTTTGCCAATGGCATACCGGTCACAGAAAGCACTATTAACACCATTTAAGTACATCATACTTGAATAGCCACGAAAATAACAAATAAAACTTTAATCTCAATTCCAAAGCCGGATTTAGACAATTCGCTTAAAATACCGCTGCCGAGTGAAGTTCTAGCGAAAAATTCAGCTGACATTTGCATTCGTTTACAGTACAGTACCATTACATTTTAATGATAACGTTGTACAAATGTTTCAGTATATATTGCCATTTTGCATACTTTGCAGCTTTTTTTACAATTAACATCGGCGAAAGATTGAGCGAAAAAGAGTGAAAGTACTCAAATCGGAGCGTCGATTGGTGTTGCTGCTTTTATTCGCTTGTTTTTTTCCCCTTTATTAACATAACTTGATTAAGAAGCCGAGTTAGCGATATTTTCAACATCGAAAATTTTTCATTTTTATTACAGGTCTTACTTATCATACCAACAAATAGTATCCATAAGAATTCGCGATGACAACGACACTTTACAATCCGAATTATAGCAGCAAATCATCTGATACACCAACCACACCGGCGACCGCATCGTTTGATGAATTTGCACAAAGTCGTGCCAATGCCAGCAATAACAGTGCCAACATAACAGCCATCGATACGAATGAAAAGTAACAATAAAATATACAAATAATATCTCATCTTCTTTATCCATATCATGTCAGCCATTTTATTTAAATGTTAAGCTTGCCAATTTACTGATGGTTTTTTGTGGATTTCATTTCGCATTCTCTATCTTTCAATTTTTGTTGTTGTTTTTAGACCAAATCTTAGTACAAGTTTTGCAATCCCATCAAACGTATCGATTATTGAGTATCTAAAAAAGCGTGCCGAACCAATCACCAATAAATTTATGCTAGCACCACCATCAGCATCAACAATTAACATACGTAGAAATTCGACACAACAAGCGGCGGCGGTAGCAGTAGCTGCAGCATCCGGTGGCAGTAATCAATCATCGGCAACACAAAGGCAATCAATAGGCGGTAATACAACAACTGAAGCATCATCATCAACAAGATCTGAAGCACCGCCGCCGATTCCAAAACGGACTTTCTTGGACAAAATAATTCAAAGTTCGCTGAGTGAATCGTCAACACAATCGCCAACATCGACAATCAAGACAACCATAAATAACGTATGCAAACAAACATTGGACGAGGTAAAACGGCGTAATACAAGCGTCAAACCGCCAATCAATCAAAATCAAACTGTACAAAGGCGTTTAGTAGAAAATCATTATCCGATTGATCAGTATTCGGATGATGATCGTTTGAGCATTGAATCGTCTGTATTTGAAGAGCCAAAAAGTAGCGATCCAATAATATCGCTATCAAATCGTTCGTCAAGCGATTCAAATAAATCACAAACAACCATCGATACCGGTTACATGTCCGCATCAAATGATAATGATCGCATTTTTTTCGGTGCCTCCGAAGATTTTCGCAGTCGCTTTTCATCGGTTGATACACAATCGTCGATCGATAGTTGCACATCATCCGACTTACAAACGCAACAATCGTTCACATTACAAAATCAAGCGCGTTGCATTATATCTCCGTTGGCCGTAAAACGTGATGAGTACGACGATAAAATGAATAATCCAACACAAATGCATGGTAAAACATTTAGTCGTTTCAATAGTTCAAATAGTTTGTTAAGTGTTTCGAATAAAACAATCAATTCGAACAGTAGTAATTCGATTAAAAATCAATCGATTGCAAGTAATGCGTCAGCATATCGTGTGAATTCATTGAATGCGAATCGAAATCAATCGATGCCAAAATCAATAGATACGGTGGGCGTTACGGTGACAAATGGCTTAAATCAATCAGGAAAAATGCGTCCAGTGCCATCGCCGGCAGCATCACGTACTCAAAACTCACTCGATTCCGGTCGTATACTTTACAATGGTTCAATGTTGGGCGCATTCCAAACTGGTTTGGCGAAAATTACATCGGCTGCTGCTACAACGGGACGACGCAGTTTTAAAAAAGCATCACAAATTGCACACACAAAATTAACACAGCGACAAGATTCAAGCATATCGAACGATAGTTTTTCACTTAATTCAAGTTCCAGCTATAACACAAAGAATTTCGATGCAACACAAGTGGCCAATAATTCAAACAACAGAAACAACAATCGAACAACAAGCTGCCTCAATGGCCAAGAGCTTACAAATTTCGACAGATTTTCAACAAATAAATACCATTTTCCGACCGGACGATCCACATTTCGACAAGACTCAACCATTTCGAATGATAGTTTCAGTCAAACGTCTAGTAGCCCCAGTTACAATACGAAACAATGTGAACAACCCTTGCTCGCACACACCGCCAAAATACACGCAAGTACGTATTGTTGATTATCTTAGCACAGCTCTGCAATATTGCAAAAATAAACCGTTTAAAATAGAGAAGAAAAAGGACATTCCCTTTCAAAAATCATCATTTGATTTGATAAATTTATCGATTTATTTTATTAACAAAAGATTGAACCGATTTCGTTGTATTTCTTTCGCTTTTTATGTGCAGTGAAACAGCATCTGAAGTGTGCCGATGAAATAACAAAAGAAAACTTCGACAATAGCGCCAATTCAGCCATTATAAAAAGTGCATCAACACCCGCCAGCCTTCAGGCAGTCGTTCGCTTCCAAAATGGTTCAAATATGTCATTGCAGCATAAAGTAAGTAGATGAAGTATTGTATTCTGACGTATTGGAGCGAATGGAATGGGCCTCATGGCCACAACTGTTCGCATAACATTCCAACTTTGAATTTTAAATAAAATGCAGTGTGGCAGAAAAACAATGAGGAAGAGAGAGAGAGAGAGAGAATGGAAAACAGATAGAAAGACCGAGCACACGATTTTGCAAAACTTTTCGAATGTAATCGAAACTTTTTTGACAAATTATCATACCTTGAACACGTTCGCACACTTGCTCTTGCTCCTGCTCTGGTTCTCATTCATAAAATTAATATAATGCATTCATTCATGTTTGGCTGATTGTCTTCTACTTATTGTAGGTCATAAATCGACGAAAAAGTTCAAATCCATACATAACGCGTGGCATTCTCAAATTCCGCTTACTTCAAATTCTTCTCAATGCACTTGCTCTGCTCATTATTGCTGGTAAGTTTACTAACGAATTTGAACTTACTTACAATAAATTGCAATGTGAAATTCAATGAATAATAAATACATTCACTTATTTACAACACAAAAACAACAAAAAAACAGGTGGTTTGGCCGCATATTTCAAGGCATACCCAACGGTGAAGTTCGTTAACAAAACCATATTTACACCACAGCGACCAGCACCATCTGCTATTACACCGATTAAAGAATTGGCGAAAAAACAAATAATCACTAGTCCATTTGGTATGAACATCATTCACGATAATTTGGCTAATATTTTCAAAAAAAATCCGGTTTCCTTTTTTAATCACTTTTTTTTAAATTAATTTCAATCATTTAAAATAAATATTATTTTTGGCTTTCAAACCCGTTGAAAAGCATTCATGGCCTCTTGTTTTTTTAAATATTATAACTTGTTTAAATAATATGAAAATGAAAAAAATCTACCTTATTAACGGTTTGTGTCTCAAACCGTACATAACACCATTCATTTTAAGTGGTTTTGTTAATCGTTTATCGCTCTTTTTGCGTTTCTTTTTCAATTTTTTGTAGATAAAAATCCAGCTCCCGGCATATGCTTGCCAATCATTGTGAAATTTTGCCAGAACCATCAAGTGCAATACAATTACACAATTTATCCAAATTACATTGGACACTTCAGCCAAATAGAAGCAGAAGAAGATCTTGAACCATACGAAGCTATCGTCGATGTGCAATGCTATGAGTTGGCGTCATTATTTCTATGCACGTTGTTTGTACCAAAATGTGGTACAGCTGGTCTTATTCCGCCATGCAAATCACTTTGCTTGGGTACGTACATTGTAAACTCTATTCTGTTCAGTGTATTGTGTTTGGATATGGTGTCACACTTGCTTTACATGTCTGCATAATGGACATTGTTCAAATGACTTTTTGGCGGAAAATAAATTTTTCTTTCGAACATCCATTTAAATTGGTTTTTATTTATTTAATTTTTTTTCTACAGAAACGATGCGACGGTGCCATTTCTTTTTCAATGTTTTCGGTCTTGAACTGCCCGACTATCTATCATGCCATCAATTCAGCGATTCGAATAATCCAGATATTTGCGTTGGACAAAAGCAAATGCGCGATGCATACAACCGAGCTTTGAAACCAGGTAACATACATACACCAACCACTCATACATCATCATCATAACAATTTATATCTCAGGGCTGGAGAGAGAAAATCTTCCCTTGAATCATTCACTTCACTCTGATCGATAAGAAACCTTATTCAGTTTATTTTTTTTCTCTTTTTCTTTAACACACAAAATAAATTCTTTTATTACCATTTATTATATACATTTTTCACAGAGGAAAACTGTTCATAAAAACGTTTCCTGCCGAAACATCTGTGTTTCTAACCGAATAAATCATAACAATTCAGATAATTGCTCATTTCCAATGCATAATGGTCGGATTTTTTCAAATTTCTTTTTGGTTTCCTTGTTATCATCATCGCTTTCAATAATATCATAAAATAAAGAATTCACTCCGAAATATACCAAACATTTTTCGATATAAAAATGCGTTGAATGGTCAACATTCAATCAAAAAATAAATATTTGATAACGGTTTAAGCTAATCTAAGTTCAGCATTCTCAAATTGAATTGTTTACTCATGGATTGTATCTAATCATATCAATAGTGTGTTAGATTATATATCTACTTTTGTGGTTTGTGTAAATTTTTAGCTGAAATAAAGAGTCTTACTGTAAAACTCTTACAGCAGTAAGACAAACCTTTCCATAAATCGAATTTTTTAGGTATATATTTTTGAGGTGTCTTTATAAAATGTTGACCCATTGCAATGCAGAGGTTCTTACATGAAAAAAAAAACACAAAACTAGATCGTAGGCCAACTCAGAGAAATGCCTACCAATTGAACGCCAACAACAGTATTTGAGCACTCTTAATAACAAGTGTCAGATTTTCAATGTGAAAATTGTGAATTTATTTTTCCAAATAATAAACGGTGACAAGAAAAGCGTTGCCATAGCTTTTCTATCGTTAACCCGCTGTGTATATGTTCAAACCAGAGGTCGCAACGGGATGGAAACATTCTCGGGCCCGTTCGAATTTTCTGTGTTCTTACCCGAATCCGACCGAAGCCCGATCCGAAATTATTTTTTTTTACCGAAAAAAAAACTGATACAAAAAGTGAAAGAAAAAAATGGTTCTAACATTATTTTTTTCGGTTTTTCGCGAGATTTTCTAATAAATTTTCAAAAACCACTCGATTTTGGGCTAATCGGACTCGGACGCCCATGATACCGAACGTATGCATTCATATATTTCACGGTTGATGCCATGCATAAGTGTGACTTTTTCATATGTGAAGTGTGCTGAGTGAATCTAAGAAGGTACAAGCATGAGAAAGAGCGCGTGAGAGAATCAAATGTGTTTAGCTTAACAGCCGTAATGTGTATTATTAAGGCTCGAGTGCTTTTGCATTAGCACATGTTATGTATTTTATCAAAATCAACATCATCTCATCAACAAAACAATAATCAAATAAATCGGTGTTGAAACAATTTGCGAACATTTTATGAATAATTCGAAAATGGCATATATCCACATATCCATAACGTATGCGTAAACATTTGTGAATTTTTTTCTTCTTCTCTCTTTACATTCAAATACAGTTGGTGTAGTGTGCATATGTGCGCGTGATGATTCAAATAGAGAATTATTCGTTAATACTCTGATGTACATTGTATTGAAATGTGTAAAAGCTTCAGCTTTTAATGTCTATTAATTAGGTTTTTGCAATCGGGGATATGGTTCCTATCACGTTCACAGTTGAAAAAATTAAGTTCAACTGACATATTTCATTATCTGATTGAGATTGGTGCCATTCATTTCTTCTCATACCTCTTCAGCTTCGATGTGTGTTCATTCGAAAGCGGCGAATTTATTAACAAAAGGGTTTTGCTTTGAAAAATACTAAAAAAACTCTTTTCCTTGTCTGTTCCTTTCGATTTTCGGTCGTATATAGTTTGTTCAGGTTTCTCATGCGATAACAAGACCCGATGCATCCCATTGGATTGGAAGTGTGACGGTAATATTGGAGATGAATATAATAAATTGTTTGATTACTAACTGGGAAACGTAAATTCGTTTAGGTAATGTCGATTGCTTGGATCAAAGTGACGAATCAAACTGTGACAAATGCGGTAATGATACCATTTATTGCGGCGAAAACCGGTGTATGAGTTCACAACATGTTTGCGATGGACACATCGATTGTCCATATGGCCAAGATGAACGTAATTGTGGTAAGTGAAATCTACGACACTTGTCAAATCCATTTGAAGTTTCATAAACTTCAGACATTTAAGATTTTTTATTGGTTCTATTTGATAAAATCAGTTCGTTTGAGTGAGCGAAATGGTGATTTGGGTAAAGGAATTCTGGAAATTTACAAAGTAAATTTAAAAAAATGGGTGCCAGCCTGTATATCAAATTGGAATCCAATCACATCACCGACAATGGTGTGCTCATTGCTTGGCTATAGTTCGGTGAATACAAGCCGAATCACAATGCGGAATACAAATCAAACGCTCACACCGAATAGTACTAAAGATCCGAATAACATTGCACGAATGTATCAACGTAAAAAAACCAATCTAATTAAAGAGTTTGGCAGTTGTAGCCCAAATGAAAATCATCCGGTGATTGATTTAACATGTTCAAATTATGGTAAATCATTGAAAATGGAACACTTTTGACACTTATTGCATTCAAAATCGTTGGAATTTCATTTTTATTTCATTTTTTTTGGGGGTGCCATTCTGTGTTGTCAATGTAGAATGTGGACGAGCTCGAAATCGGCCGGCACGTGCACGAACACGAATTGTTGGTGGTTCGGAGTCATCGCCGGGCGATTGGCCATTTTTGGCAGCAATTTTAGGTGGACCTGAAGAAGTATTCTACTGTGCTGGCGTTTTAATCGCTGATCAATGGGTTCTTACTGCTTCTCATTGTATTGGAAAGTATGTGGTATTTTTTTTCTTCTCTAGCTTTAATTCTGATAAAAAAAAACCACACTTAATTAATCGAATCGATTCAATTTGAAAATGTTAGCAAATCATTGTATAACATAAATAGTTGGACAATTCAATTGGGTATAACACGTCGAAATTCGCATACGTACTATGGACAAAAAGTGAAGGTGCAACGCGTTTTACCGCATCCACAATACAATTTGGATGTGATGCATGACAATGACATTGCATTGTTCCAGGTAATTGTAAATCACAGATTCGATTTCCGCCTCCATTGATTCGAAAATTGTTAATGGCGTTGTTTTTTTTATCCGTTTCTTTTTTTTGTGTGCATGTTCAATAGTTGGCGACTCGAGTCGCATTCCATGAGCATTTATTGCCAGTTTGCTTACCTCCGCCCAGTTTAAAAAGAATCAAACCTGGCACCATATGTACAGTGATCGGATGGGGCAAGACAAAAGAAGACAAAAAACGTAAATCACTATCATTCTTGCTATCAATTTGTTCTGTCGAAATGTTAATTTGCCTCTTTGTTTTATTGTCATTTTATGTTTTGTTTCATCGTCTTTCACGATGCTTTGACAGCGAGCACCTCATATGAGCCAACTGTGAATGAAGTTAATGTTCCTGTACTGAATCGAGACTTATGCAACGAATGGCTGGTGCATTTAAATGTAACCGATGGTATGATATGTGCTGGCTACTCGGAGGGTGGTAAAGATGCTTGCCAAGGTCGGTTTTGTTTCTAGGTCATAGCTCGCACTAACCGCTCAGATGGTGCTATTGATACTGTTCACCAGTAGCAGTGACGTAACTAGAGTTAGTTGGTGTGCCAAATTTCATCAAAATCAGGAAACTTTTATTTATGTGACATTTTGCCCCCATAAAGTTCCAAACCACTCCCGTAATTATTTCAAAATATACCTGAAAAAATTGTCAGCCATCACTATGCAACATTTGAGCACTCTCCAATCACTAATTCTCAGATTACGCCACTGTTCAGTAGCTAGATGAATGTGACAACGTCCTCTCATTGAATTCGTATCAAGTGATAGAAAGCGAAGAGTATTATTTTGCATCTCTTTTCTCTCACTTTTAAAGGCAATAAATGAAGGAATGATGTTATGCTGAGTGGTTAGCGAAAGCTGTGTGTGTGTGTGTTTCACTTCAAAAACATTTCCTCCTTTTTCGCTCACTTTTTGATTTGATTTCATGTTGAAATTAGGTGATTCCGGCGGTCCGCTATTGTGCCGTGATTCAAATGATCGTGAACGTTACTACGTGGCAGGCATCGTTAGTTGGTTAGTTGGCCGTTTTAAAGTTGTTGTGTTAAATCTTCTTTTCTTCTAATAATAATGTGTGTATTTTCTCTTTTTCAATTTTAGGGGTGTTAAATGTGCCAACCCAAAGTTACCAGGCGTCTATGCAAACGTTCCAAAATATATTCCATGGATTATTGAAAATATCCAAAACTATTCAAATGTTCCGCTTGAATATCCACGTTCGAACATCAACCGTAAACCGAATAAAATGTTCAATCGACAGCATCGACAAAAAAGTTGAAGTTAAAAAGAAAAACCAAATTGAAAAAGAAGATGAATAGAGAAAAAAAAAACCGTACGCAGACAATAAATGAAATTGATCATATTCAATTTAAATTGCAAATTAAGATAATAAATAGCAAAAGGAAAACGTAAATCCAGTTTTCCTCACTTTTTTGATATTTAAAAATAAACAAGCCAATTAAATGGATGTGTTCTAAATGGAACGAGATTTTTTTTACATATATAATATCGATATTTTTAAATACGAAGACACCGACAAACAATGAAATTGACAATAAATTAACTCATTTACATATATAAGATGATGAAATATCCATAATACATATATACCTATATATATTTATATATGTATTTAACATTTAAAATTATGCCGAGGAAAAGAGATAAATAAAGAATACTAATTGAGTCAATATGATAAAAATAGAAACGAAGACGGAGAAATATATAAAAATATTTATGTATTTTTAGATAAGACATTTTTTGTGAAACGTTTTTTTTAAGATATCATACTATATACAAAAATGTGAGGTATAGACAATAAGAAATCAATAAAACATTTTCCAGTTTATACGGTGTAGCGCACACATTCATATGTGAGATGAGATGGAGTGAGATTGTTGTTCAACAGGATACAATGGATTTTATCATATTCCATTTATTGAGATGAAATTATAAGCGAAATTTGAAGACAATAACAATCTTAGAATGAAAAAAAAGCTTATGATAAACATATGTATAGAGTTATTTATATGTATATAATGAACGACGGTTTGCCACACACACACACACATACACATACATGATAGAAGTAAATGCACTCACATTCATCACATAGTATTGAATACATCGTCTTATATTTTATACTGAAGCAAAATAGACTTAACCTTAATCATGATGTAGTTTAGCTTGATTCTAATTGACAAAGAGTGTGTAGAAAATCCAGTTTAGTTTCAATATTAATCGGAAAATTCTGCGCAATTTTCGATTTTTTTAAAATTCAACTTTAACGAATTTTTTTAAAGCCCATCGAAATAAATTATTATTATATTATGTTGTTGTCGGATTTTTATCAGAGATATGCAAAAATACCAGTCCTTATGAAACGCAACACTTGTACTTTATTCGATTGATTGAATCAAATGTAGTGGAATCCTTGGAAGCCTCGCTTCCGAACTAGTTTGCTTTGAATGGAACATTTTTCTATTTTATTCGGTTGGTCTTAATTGAGACAGGAATGGATGGGAATAAAAGGGAATCTTCTCATCTCAACTTTGGCCGTTCATTCAGAATGGGCTTTTGAACCGTTCAAGTTTAATGTTCAAAATAGTACTCATTGATTTCCACTGATATATGTCATTTAAAAAACAAACGTCGTAAAAATCTTTGAAATATACACATTTAAATGGAAATGTCATTTTGTGAAAAATATCTTCTCAAACTTTTGTATTGGGTGTATAAATTAATTTTGATCGCTGACAATTAGATGTCACCACTTAAAATTGTGTGTAGCTTGACAGGTGAATCCAATTGCATTTTGTACATGTGACATTTGCCAAACTAATTCAGAGCAGAAACATTTATTTTTGACTCAGTGTCATTATTTTCTGATCGATTCAAAATGAGTGATGAAAAAGTGTTTTTCTGTCTGGCCCTCCTTTGGTTGAATTTTTTCACTTTAAATGAAGTGAAAATACATCTAAAGGTTATAAAATGTTGCAGGAGACGAAACCTCTCAATCGCCACAGAGAATGTTGAATTTGGTGAAAAAGAAGTGGTGAATTTGTTGAAAAACTGTGAACTCACCAAAAAAATTTGAATGATGGGCTATTGGCGTTTTTTATTCGATAAAGATGCATGAAAATGCACCAGAAAACATCAGAAGCATTAAATATATGCGAATCAATCGTTTTAAGACATTTGTAATGAGGTAAGACCAAAGAAATTGTGTGCCACACCAGCTGAATCCAAAACTAGTTGTAAGACGTTTTTTCACATTTTGGCACAATGTTCCAAAAATAAGAAAAAAAGAAATTTTTGTATCGTATTGTAACTGGAAGTGAAGAAACCATCTGCTACGATAATCCCAGGCATAAAGATAAGGGTTCAATCCCACACAATCGTCAAAATCGACAGCATAGCAGGATTTTAATGATTTCTCGGTAATGCTCATTATTTGGTGGGATTAAAGTGGTGTGGTGTATAATGAGCTGCTGAAACCGGGTGAAACAGTCACGGGGGATCGGTATCGACTACAACCAATACGTTTGAGCAGAGTACTGAGAGAAAAATTGAAAAAAAAAAACTGCGACAAGAAATAGTCGAAGGATTTATCAAAATTTGACATATTTCAAACATCGCAAGAAAAAAGATAGGGGACTCTGGTCGGGATGAGCTTGATCACCCCCCGTACTCTCCAGACCTTGCCCCTTCTGACTACCACTTGTTTCGATCAATCTAAATGGGCTTGTCTGAGATATCGTTTCGAAATCCTGAAGGAGTGCGAAAATGGATCGATGAATGGATAGCGTCAAAAGATGAGGAATTCTTTCGACGGGGAATCGACAAGTTACCAAGAAGATGGGCCGAAGTCATTGCTAACGATGGGCAGTACATTGGTTAATGTACTCATTCTTATTATTTTTAAATAAATGTTTCCTTTCACCAAAAAAA